ATTTGTTTAGGGAATTGTCTCCATTGTTCCATCAACCTTGGTTCCTACAGGAGAAAACGGCACCAGAAGAAATGCTTGCTCTTGTTTTTTCTCTACAAATGTATTATATCCTAAAATATGTAGTCTTAAAAAAACTAGGTCCACCAATGATTTTTCTTTCTGAAATCCTGTTTCTGGCATTTTTTTTGGTGTCAGTTTGTCCTAAATGTAATTTGTTTTGCATCTTTTTTGTGAATGAATTGCTAACAGGGCAAGAGCCCTTGTGATGCTCTTGGCAGGTTTGACTTCACTGCAAAGATTACCTGTTGACTGGGAATTTTAGCAAATGACTTTTACACAATAGGAAATAAGGTCCAAATCCTTGTTCTGTGAATGACTTTTATTGAGTAGCTTTCCCGCTGAGCTGGATGTGATTACACAAGGAATGAGGCACTGCTCAGCCTGAGTAAGGTCATCTGTTCTTGCTGGCTCTACCATTTTTCAGTTAATCTAGCTGAGGTTGAAACATCCCAGACAAACTGTTGCTGTTCATACAGGGAATCTGACACCTCTTGGATGAGCCAGACTCTCTGGGTCCGTAGCATTAAGTTCTTTGCACGTGTGTGGTTGATCCGAGGTGCTCCGGATAGATCTGTCGCGCGTGCAGATCCATTGCCCTGGGCTCTGTGTGGCTCATGGACATCCAGGGACAAGTACGGGTCGTTGCAGTCTGGCCTTAAACTGCTTCCTTCATTGTCTCTGCCGAGGAAGCACAACTCCCTTGACTTTAATCCATCTTTCTTGGTTATTTTCTGCAAGTCCTCTAAAAGGATCTCAGGATTTCAGGCAACAAGGTGTCTCCGCAGGTGATTTTGTGAGGGAATGGACCGAAACATCTTTCTTGAACCACCAGCTGCACTGCTCTCTGATTTGCAGGGGATCCAGCTGCTCGGTGTGTCTGCCCATCAGCCCCTTCCCAAACAACTTCTTCGCACACTGGTCAGTGCCAGTCAAATTTGAGAATCAAACAGACACCCCAGAGAGGCTTGTTCCTCCATTCTCTATGGAAATAGGCAACCAGCAGAGAAGAACAACTTTATACGAGGAAAAGACTACAACCTCAGTTCAGTGTGTTTAACAATCAGGACAAATACTGGTAGGTTCTGCTCATCACAGACCTCTTTGCCGTGTGTCCACCCCCCAGCACTTTTGGTCAGACAGAGTCTTGCCACTTTGGTTAAAAAAAAAAGTCACACCAAGTCTTAGAGGGTTGCATGACTGGGAGGATTAGTCTGTTGAGGTTTTGTTGTACTTCTCTTTTCTGGATGCTTCCCAAGAGCCTCCATGGAAAAGCTGGAGACAGGGATGGGATGGACCTTTTGATTTAGAGTGGGCATGGACTGCTGCGAAGAAAGGCACGGCTGAGCTTAATGCAGCCCTAAGCCATGGATGGAAAATGCTGCTGTTGTAACTGTGGCCATACAGCCTACGTGTGTGTAGATGCCCACATTTTGGTGTAAAAACGTGTGTGCTTTTGCACCCCACTAAGGTGTACTGAAAAGAGTCTGTGTCTTAAAAAAAATAGTGTAGTGTGAAAAGAAATCTGTGAAAAACAGGAAGGCTGAAATAAACCAAGGGTCTGCGACCTGTGTTGACACAATTATGAGTCAGTTCATACCTTTTGGTTCCCTCTATGTTTACAGGAGACTCTGTGTTTGACTATCCATCATCTGGTGTCTTACTGAAAGACTTGCTTAGTAAAGCCCTTTTTTCCCCTCCTTCTTGCGCACAGAAACAAAAATCAAAACACCCGAGAGAAACACTGTTTCTTGATAAATAAACAAACACTGGAAACATCTTTATTAAAAGTGCCATTTAGCCAAGGAGCGATTTTTTTGGATTGCACTTAAGAGCATCTTCTTTTCTCCTTTCCTTTTTATCCAAAGTCCGCAACACCTTTTGCAGGGAAATTCTGTGGCCTTCATTGTGTGCTAATTAAATAGGCAAGTGGAACAGAGATGCGACGCTAATGCCTTTACCAGGCTCTGAGAGAGGTTTGTATATGTGTACTATGAATGGTTAATGGAAGTCGATCACAACTGGTGTTTGAGATGCTAGTGACAATGGCTCATGTGGTGGATGCTGCTAGTAGATGGTGTTCTGCTGTCCTCAAAATTCGCAGATGATAGCTTAGCAAAAGAGAGATGTTTCAAGGCAAGGGAAAAAAATAGCAGGGCGCAGCTTTAAAAATTCCTGCGTTTGACAAACATGGCATGAAGAGATGCCACAAGTTAGGGATACCCACTAGTTTAAAGGCCATCAGTAAACAAAACTATGAGAAAAAGTTGTAATTTTAAAGGCCAGAGTGTCTTTTTGATGATAAAAGATTCTGGATGTCTGAATATTTCTGAATGACGGAAAAGGTTCTGTTGGTTAAAAGTGTGGAATTTTTATTTATTTTGCTCTGACCCATTCTGTGCTTTTTTTTTCTTCCATAAAAAAACTGCTTGGGTGAAAGAGCTGATTATTCTGATCTTTGGCAAATTTTCTTTCGCAACTGTCCAAATGCTATATAATAAATCAAGATTTTTTTTCCCCATAGATTGAAGTTTGTGGGGAAACTGCCACAGAATGTGCCTGCTGCTTGTTGCATAGAGTGATTTGTTGCATTATTGCAGAAAACTTTTAACTCCTTCAGGAAAGCAGTTTCTGGTTGTGCATTGTACTCAGGTAGAAGGAGAACTCTCATGATTTCTCTTGTTTAATATTTGTATTCAGTGAGATTTCACAGTGAGAAAGGTCATCCCCATTAATACTACTTTTGCCATGCTTGGTTTAAAAAGAGAAAAAAAGTCCTCCCTGTGCCATTTAACCTCTTACATGACATTTGCGTCCCAACATGACATTTGCGGCCTGTTTAGCTGGGGTAAAAGTAGCTTGAGCTTCCAATTCTGGCAGGTTCTTTTCAGTGTTGTTAAAAATACACTTCTGTGTGAGAAACGCTTTGTAGAGATGGTGAACAGAGTAAGTGGGACAAAATCGAAGCCACAGAGTTCACACGCTCTCTTTTTACAAAAGCTGGCTCTTTTTTCTCCCTGCTTTTTTTTTTGGATTGTATTTTTTCAGACCTGATCAAGACTGTCACCTACATGATTTTTTTTCAGTCGCTTTGGAACTTGTCTGCCTGGAGGCCTATTGATAGTGCAGGCTCTGCAATGGGATTCAGACCTACCTAAACGAGGTTTTTTGAGCCGCCGGCATGGGCACTGATAGCAATCAAGAAGCAGCGGTATGGACATCAGTGACAGAGAGATGCTTGAGTATTTATCCAGACTCCTAGAAATGCTTTGCAGCCTGCACTGAGCTCCATCCTGTGGCAGAAAGACTGCTGCTATACCCCCGTTATCTCATTTAAAGGTGGCTTGAGCACCACTGTTCTGCACCACAGTGCTGGGACATCTTTCGTGAAACCACTCCAGCAGTTCTGAGGTTCCTTGGCTTCAGAGGTTTGCCAGTGCTGCGAACATAAATGCATGGGTGAGGGGTCTTGGAAGAGAAAAGTGTGAGTTTCCAGGCTAACTCGAGAGGGAAGGTGCCTCTGAGAGATCAAGCAACAACACGGCTTATCGATGTTCATCATGGGGTAATGTGTCTGTGCAGCACCCTGCCCCGCGTCAGCTGGGGACGGCGTCAGAGCCGGGGGGTGTACCTGCTCGGGGAACG